TCCTATCTCTACATATTCTAGTGGAATCTATACAGGGCAAAGGTCAGGGGAGACAGTGTTAGCAGTCCTTACTTTAGCTTTCCATGTCTGCTCCCACCCATCTCCCCCCGAAGACATGCCTACATCTTTCCCTGGCACCCTCCTGCCCTAACTTCTGTGTTAAAAGTGAACAGGATTCTAGGGAAGAAAAGATGCTGACTGACTTGACCACATACACAGAACACATATGAATTTCAGCTAAAGAGTAACCTCAGCCTGCCATTCGCCTTCTACTTCTTATAGAATAAAGGGTTTGAAAAGAATCTCAGGCATGCCAAGTAGAGAAGACTAGATTTTGGCATCCAACTTTGCCTTTAGGACTAAGACTGATTCTGAAGGTAAATGTAATTGGGAGCTTTTATTTCAGGGTGGCTGACTTAGGCACAGTCCTGGGAAGATGATCAGGGAATTATCAGTTGCATAGCTTGGAACAGGAAGCCATGACTCTGCTTTATCTTAGATACTCCATTCTTCCCATTCCTCATCTCCTGCAGCCCCAACAAACCTTCCACACAAATGTGGTGTATTTTTCGTCACATTAGAGTTTCTGATTTCGTGAGATCTGCCACGAAACGCCATCTATTACTTTACAACTGGTAATATTTCTGATCACAACTGTAGTTGCTGCATGCATGGTCTTCATTTCTTAGTATCCTTCTTAAGTCGTGTTGTCTAATCAGTGCATGTCTTATTTTCTGAAGTGAAATATAACCTCTTTTCTGGAAATGACACACAACTGCTTTTGAATGTCCATAACCTATAGCAGTTAATATTACTAGACACATAGTGGGTACTTAATTGTACTTATTGTAGGCACAGCACTCTCAGCTCCACTAAGTTTCAGGAGAGAGAGAGAGAAAGAGAGAGAGTGAGGGAGAGAAAGAGATCCATCCTGTATACACACACATACATACTCACACACATCCTGTATACTTTCAGGATTCCTAAATACTTTCATAAATAGAGACAAAGCAAGTCATAGAGGGGTGTCTGGGTGGCTAAGTCAGTTAAACATCCCACTCTTGATTTTGGCTCAGGTTATTATCTCATGGTTTGTGAGATTGAACCCTGCACTGGGCTCTGGGCTGACAGCATGGAGCCTGCTTGGGATTATCTCTCTCTCTCCCTCTCTCTCTCTCTGCCCCTCTCCTTCTTGTGCACTCTCTCTCTCTCTCTCTCTCTCTCTCTCTCTCTCTCTCAAAATAAATAAATAAACTGTTTTCTAAAAAGAAAGTCATAGTTAGGAATATGCAGTTTCATTGATATAAGATATATTCTTAAGAGGCAATATAGTATAGGGATTAGAACATAGGATCTGGACCCAAAGTATGTTGGTTAAAATCCAAGCTCTGTTCCCTAGCATTGTAAGTTTGGGGCAATTTTTTCTCTATATATACCTCAGTTTTATCATCTGTAAATGGAGTTAAATGGTGTATCTTTTGTAAAGTTTTGAATATTAAATTAGAAAACACATGTGTTGTAAGGCACTTAAGATAGTTCACGTGTTAAGTGATCAGAAAGCATTAACTGTTATTATTGTATTCATTTATATCACCATACCCTCTGATGCTCACAAACGTAGACGTCCCCTTTTACAAACACACTCATTAATTTGAAAGCATCAGCCAAATACCCATTACATACTAGATAATATTCTGGAAATACAGAGCTGAACAAGACATTCTCTCTTTCATAATGAATTTCACAATCTTGTGGGGAAGATTGCAGAGAAACCATGATTACAATATAGTGTGATAAGGGCTACAATAGAGTCAAGTAAAAGGGGCTATGTGGACACGCAAGAGGGCTAAGTTGTGGTGGCTGGGAGATGGGGTTCTGAGGGGCAGCGTCCTTGACCTGAGTCTTGAAGGTTCAGTAGAGGTTTAGCCAGCTAGCTGAACAAACCAGAAGAAAGGGTATTCCAGATAGAGGACAGCATGTTCACAGGCACAGAGATGGGAGAGTTGTTCAGGGAATTCAGGTAGTTATGTGTTGCACAGAGAGGCAGAGAGGTGGAAGATGGTGGTAGATGCTGCTGGACAGATGGGTCTTGACTGAACCGTAAAAGCTCAGTGTGCAAGGTAAGGAGTGTGGATTCTACCCTATAATGGATAGGGAGCCATTGAAATAATTAAGCAGAGGAATGATGTGATCAGATTTGGGTCTGAAGAAGATCCTGACAGCCCCAGTTTGAATAATTGGAGGGGACAAAATTGGAAGAATAGCCTAACAAATGAAGAACCCAAACTAAGCAGTGACAAAGGAGACCAAGAGGAAGGTATCAAGTGAACAAATATTTCTGAGATAAATTCAACAGCAATCATTTGGAAGAAATGTGGACGAAGGGAGAAACAAGGATAGAGGGCAGAATGAAGGAATGTACTCAGATTTCTGGCTTGGGTGGGCTCGGAGTGGTAGTGTTATTTTCTAGGAGTGGAAGTATTTGGAGGGGAAGGTAGAGATGGATAATGTAGTTTTGTTATATTGAGTTAGAGGTGTTTATGAAAGATGGAGTACATACTTAACTGTACAACACAATTATCCAAGGAACTTGTTAAATGCAAATATTCAGCCTCTACCCTTAAAGAACCAGATTCGGTAGGTCAGAGGTGAGTACTAAGGATTAGCATTTCTTAAAAAAAAAAAAAAAAAAAATTCGCCTCTTCCTTAGGCGGCAGCCATGGCGGGCCAAGAGGATCCGGTGTGCGGGAGATTCACCAGGACTGGGCGAACCGGAAGTACATTGAGGTCATCACCAGCAGCATCAAGAAAATGGAGGACTTTCTCAACTCGTTCCATATGTCTTGTCATTCAAGACTTTCAACACTAAAGGAGAAATTGACAGCCCTCAAACGGAGAATAGAGTACATTGAAGCACGGGTGACAAAAGGTGAGACCCTCACCTAGAACTGTGCCATGCTACTGCTGGGAAGTTGCTTTACAGAACACAGGCCTACGTGGGAAAGGCCCCAGCAGCCTCAGCTCCTTCCTCTCTCCTTAAAGAGTAACAGGGCTTATTTTTGTTTTTCTTTTTTCAAAAGCGTGGCCTTTGGGCTCTGCCATGTACATCGGTGTGTGATGTGGCATGTGGGAAGAAGTCCAGGGAAACTCTCGGAAACAACATTAGGCATTTTACCTTTTAAGTAACATTTTGTAGAACTGTTTGTCAATGTATTTGAGGCGTGCAGAGCCAGACGCCTGGGACTCTTTGTTAAGGTCCTCCCCACCTCCTTCTCTCTCTCTCTCTCTCTCTCTCTCTCTCTCTCTCTCTCTCTCACACACACACACACACACACACACACTTTCCTTACAGCTCTCATTGCCTCTGCATTGGTTCTATAAACAGTCTTTGTCTCCTTTCCACCTTTGGTGGGGGGGTGGGAGGCAGTCCTGTCTGAGACACTTATGCCCAGGCAAGGTGGCCACAAGAGAATGTTGTTGGTAACCCACCAGTTTCTTGTCCTTTTGGGGAGGTCAAGGCTAGGCCCCCACTTGGCTTGAAGGGACATTTTCAGAATTTTCTGTCACTTGGGGTGTCTTTGCCTCTCATATTTCCCTAATAAACTCCTCAACTTAAAAAAAAAAATTCCCACGTGGTTCTGATGTAGCGAGTCCAGGCTATATGAGTATATGTATAACAAAGAACAAAACAAAACAAAAAACAAAACAAAAAACAAAAACCAGGAAATAAAATTTCAGGAGTCTCTGCATATATGATTGGAGCCAAGGTTATGAACGAGGTCATATATAGACAATGGGCAAAGTGAGAAGAGGAAGGGGCCAATGACTAAGACTGTTATAATTGTTTCAACAGTGATTTTCCTTTACATTACCAAAATCAGTGGAACTGAGCAATTGCAGCGGATACAAGTATTAACTCCTCTTGGTATGTGTAGTTTATTTTTCTTTCTCTGCCTTCCATTCCCCATGCTGCCCCCAGAGTTATCTTCCAAAAGCACTTATCTCGTGATGCTTTTCCTCTGTTTCTAAACTTCACATAATTCCTCCTTTTATACAGTGAAGTTTCAACTCCTTGGCATGGTATGCAAGGTCCTTTATAATCTAGTCTCAACCTGCATTTCCAGAGCCAGATGCCATTGTCTCCACCGTTAATTCCATGTGCCAGCCACTACGGGCTTGGCCTCTGCCGGACACATCATATATCTTTGTGCCTCTATACTTCCTCTTCTGCCTAAAATGTGCTGCCTCAGCTCTGTCTCTGTGCCTCTTAACTCACAGTTAGCTTTACAGAGGTTATTCATACGTGGTCACACAAATCCAGTGGCATTTCTACACGTACCACTGGTTCATTCTGGTAATCAGCATTAAATTTGAATTGCAATGAAGAAAGCAGAAATATTTTTCTCATAAGTAGGAACTGTGTTTTAATGGAAGCCTACTCAATCTTGAAGGTCAAATTTAACTGTTTTTATGTGTTTTCAGAGAGATACTGTTTATAGTTCTGGGCTAGAATTTACTCTTATCGTCATTATTCTATAATTAACTATTAAAGAGTCAGCCTCCTCTATTTGATTTTTAATTCCTAGACAGCACAGACACTGTTCTCTTCATATTTGAAACTTCTATAGCCTAGTGCTTCATACATGGCAGGTTTTCACTAAATGCTTGTTAGACTGAACTAGAAATCCTCAAATGCAAGTTTAAAAAACCCCATAAGTAATAAACTCAGAAATATCACGTGCCTCAGTCCAGTCTACTAGTCAAAATTTAGCTAAATTTCAGCCAAAGAAGCAGAAAAGTCCCATTTTCTAATTCAAGATAATTTTAAATTATAAACTGATATAATTTTAACCTCCGGGTCATTACTCAGGACACCAAGTAGTACTCCTTGGAGGTGACTTTCATTATTATAAAAAGGAAATCAATGAGCTCCATTCAAAACAAAGATTATGCTCCAGGGAAGTTTCAAAACAATAAAAATAAAAAAGAGAGAGATTTACCAGTTTAGGTTCTGAGTAGGTGCCAAGACCGATGATAGGAATGCTGTTTCCATCACTTAGGGGTATACGGTGATTTGCAGCACTGAGGTTCATCCTGGAGAGAGTCTGGGTTTCACGTTTTTCAGAGTAATTCTGGACACTACTGGGAAAATCTTTTTGTAAGGATATTTTAGGGCCTATTTAATGAAAGAAAGGAGAGTCAGAGGGAGGAGCAGTGGGAGGGAAGAGAGATTAGCAGATCTATTTCTCAACCTGTTTTTTTTTTTTTTTCCCCAGGTTGTTTTGAAAATCTGGAGATTGTCCTTTGAACTTTATCAGAGGCATGTAAATAACATAACCCATTGAGAGCTAATGCTTACTTCTCTACAAAGAAAAAAGGGAAAAGCCAAAAAGAAACAAGTCTGGTTGGCTTCTGCCAGTTAGGATGGTTTTGTGGGCAAGTGACAGGCCTGTCTCAAATTCTCCTAAACTATAAAAGACATTTATTGGTTTATATTTCTGAAAGCTTCAACATTAGGGCTAGCTTCAGGTGAGACTATAGCAGTTTCCCAGGACTTGCCTGGAAATTCTGATGCAGCAGGACTTGGAAGGGTTTTAAGATTGTATCACCTAGTTAAGTTTGGGAAACAGTGGGCCAGAGGAACAACTGGTCTTTTAACCAGTCTATCTCTCTGTCTCTTCATTCTCTCAGTCTCTCCTTATTGTTAAAAGATGGTGACCCGTCCTTGGAGTGACGTGGTTCCGGAGACAGACTCAACAAAAGAGAGATTTTTACTTATGCCATCACTCACACAGTAACCTAGAAAAGGTCTTTTTGGTCTCCACTACCTTTCTTGCTTCATGGATCTATCACTAAACTAATCATGATGGTCAAAGGACATAAAAGATTGATCACCCTCAGATAATTAGAAGCCATTTCTTTCTTTCTTTTTTTTAATTTATTTCTTTTGAGAGAGAGAGAGAGAGAGAGAGAGAGGAGGGGTAGAGAGAAAGGGAGAGAGAGAATCCCAAGCAGGCTCCATGCTGTCAGTGCAGAGCCTGATCCCATGAACTGTGACATCATGACCTGAGCTGAAATCAAGAGTGGGACGCTTAACCTACTGAGCTACCCAGGTGCCCCAGAAGTAATTTCTGAATGTGGAGTTGGAGTTAATCTCACCTGGGCAGAATCTGGAGATTGTTAAGAAAAAGGAAAGAAATAGCAGTTAGGGAAGCAACTAACAAATGTTTATTATAGTTTTCCTCCAAAGGATTGTGCTGTGTATAAAATGTGAGCCTTGGGGGTTTTGAAGATAACTAACTGTGTTCAGGCTGGTAAAAGTGTGCTCAAGTTTGCCTATAACTCATTTGCCCTCTCTCCTGGACTTCCTTTCTTGCTTACATACACATGATCAGCCAGGGAATTTCAAGTAGGTTGGGGCAGCATGGAACACGGGCAATATTGGTCTTCAGTATCATTGGTAAATTGATCCAACAGATACTTATTGTACACCTTTGGGTGCTAAGACGTTGGTTTGCATATATTGCTCTATATTTATTATTACTGACTTTTTTGGTCTTTAGCCCAGTGAACACTTTGGATGTTTAAATTCATGATTTTCATCGAATTTGGGACGTTTGGGGGCATTAGTTTTTCAAACATCCTTTTAGTTTCTTCCTCTCCTCTCCTTCAGGGCCTCCTGTTGTGTATATGTTGGTATACTTGATGGTATCTCATAGGTGTCTTGAGCTTGGTTTATTTATTTTTGTCATTCTTTTCTCTTTTTTCTTCTTAAACTAGATGATCTCAATGGGTCTATCTTCAGGTACCCTGACTCTTTTGCCTGCTCAAATCTATAGTTGAAACCCTTGAGTTATTTTTCATTTCAATTATTGTGTTTTTAATCTCTAGAATTTGTTTGGTTCATTTTTACGATTTCTATTTCTTTACTGATGTTCTCTACATGGTGAAATGTTGTTCTCCTGGATCCTTTGGTTCTTTCCCCATGATTTTCTTTCACTCTTTAAGCATATCTAAGAGAATCGAGTTAATGTCTTTGTCTAGTAAGTCCAATGCTCTGTGTCCTCATGGACACTCACAATTCCTTTTTTTTCCCCTGTGAGCAAGGCATATTTTCTTGTTCTTTGCATGTTCTGTAATTTTTTTGTTGAAAACTGGGAGTGTTGAATATCACAATGTGACAGTTCTGGAAATCAGATACTTCCCCCTCCTCTGGTTCGTTGGTGCTGCTTGCTTATGAGATGTTAATGTTTGCTTATTTACTAACTTCTCTGAACGATTGAGTCCCTACCATTTGTTATGTGAAAGGTGTGTTCATCTAATTTAGCAGTCATGGTCACTTGGTGTTTTGACAGAGTTTTCTTCACTGCTCGGAGCAAAAAAACCAAAAAATTCTGTCTTTGTAGGTTGGCTCCTTTGGGGCATGACTTCAATGCTTACCCATGCTGCTTATGATGCTGCCATAGCCTTTGTTTCCAGCTTGCACAGAGCCTGAAGGCCAGTCAGAGGTGAAACCTGAGGGTCTTGTCAGGCCTCTTTGACCATACGCTCAGCCCTGACAGTATGGGTGGCCTTCTTGATTAACCAGCCCTGCAACTCCCTACCCTCACATATCTCCTTTCCCAACTTCTTCTTTGCCAGGATTTTCAGTCTATTGGTTGTCCCAACTAACCCTAGGCTTCCACAGCCAAAACTTCTGTGCTTAAATGCATGCAGCAAAAACTTGAGCAGCCATCTTTGCCCTAGGAATGCTTTGAATTAGGCAAAATCAAGGCAAGCCTTTGTGTGTTCCTTCAGGGAGCCACCGGACAGTCTGGGACCACAGTGATGATTCTTTGAGAATAACAGCTCCATTGCGCTCTGTGGCACCAGCATCCTGCACCAGGAGTGTGGGCACAGTCCTCATGGCTGCCATGGATCAGATGTGGGGGGATGGTGGGCAGGCGATTTAAACCACACAGTCCTCTCTCTTACTGCAAAAGCAGCAGCTGCTTTCTTCACTAAGCTTTCCCCTGGTTGTTTCAAGTTCTTGACTGGACTCCAGACTCCTGCAAAAAATGAGACTGTTTTTGCCAGCAGATTCGTTGTTTTTATAAAAGCACAGAGACCTGGAATCCCCTACTCTGCTACTTTCCTCTTTTCATTTAAAAAAAAAATGTTTATTTATTTTTGAGAGAGAGAGAAGGCAAATGGAGCAAGGGGTCTGGGAGATCCGAATCTGTGGTGACAGCAGAGAGCCCAATGCGGGGCTTGAGCTCACAAATCATGAGACCATGACCTGAGTTGAAGTTAGATGCTCAACTAACTGAGCCACCCAGATGCCCCACCTCTTTTCAATTTTTTTAAAAAAAAAATTTATTTGTTTTGTGATTGGATTATTTCTATTGACTTATATTCAACTTTTTCCTCTGTCTTCTTTCCTCCATTCTGCTACTGAGTGCATACAGTAAGTCCTTTGTTCTTTTTTTCTTAGACTTTATTTTTAGGGAAGTTTTAGGTCATAGCAAAGTTGAGCAGTGTGTACAGAGAGTTCCCATCCCCTGCCCTCACACATGCCCTGACTTCCCCCACTATCGACATCCCCCCACCAGAGTGGTACATTTGTTACAATTGATGTACCTGTTTGACCTATTACTATCCACCAAAGTCCATAGTTTGCATTAAGGTCACTGTTCACATGGTATTTTCTATGGATTTTGGAAGATGTTATAATGCCATGTATCTACCACACTATTATTGTCCAGAATAGTTGGCCCTAAAGTTCCTGTGTTCTGCTTATTTATCCCTCTCACCCTCCTAATCCCTGGCAACCACTCATCTTTTTACTGTCTCCAAAGTTTTGTCTTTTTTCAGAATATCATATAGGTAGACTCATACAGATTTTCAAATTGGCTTCTTTCACTTAGTAAAATGCACATAATGTTGCTCTATGCCTTTCCATGGCTTGGTAGCTCTTTTTTTTTTTTTTAGTGGTGAATTATAGTACATTGTCTGGATGTACCATAGTTCTCTCTGTCTGCACCCTGCCGTCCACTTTCTGATTGGGGGGGGCGCGGTGGCGGGGTGGGGGGGGCCCCGGGAGAGGTACTGAGAGACCCCAATAGTACATGAGTTCTGCTCTATCTTTCTCCATCTGCTACTGTTTCTTTTTCAGACTCCTGAAATAACCTTCTTATACATATATTTCATGTTTTATAGTGGTATTCACTGGGAGAGGCATCCTACCCGGAACTAGAACCCTCACATATTTCTTAAAATAATTTTAAGTTTTTTACACATATTGACTAAATTGAGGTGAATTTAAATTTTAGATTGCTTTTTTGTGTGAGAAATTTCTGAAGTTAGTCTTTATATATTGATACCTTCAAAATAAATTGACCTGACATAAAACAATTCTTATTTCTATTCAATAAAAGGCTTGCATATGAATTATTACTCTCTTTGCTGATATAAATTCACAAATAATTTTAATTATGACAATAATGAGATTATTTTTGAGTATTTACTGTGCACTTTTATGTATTGTCTCATTTAATTTTCACAACATAGCTTCTTATTAGAGCTAACATAAGTGACTGCTACTTTTTCTCTAATGGCAACTCTAACCATGCTCTGTTCCTTCTGCTTCCTTGTTAAAAATTATTACAATACCCCAATCACAGTATTTCTCCTGCTATATGTAGGTACACATACACACAAATACCTACATCCTCAAACCTTCTCCCAAATCACCTAACGTAAGCCCGATTTCTATTACAAGCCCTTTTCTCTCTCCCTCTTTTAAAATTTCTTTTCTTTTTTTTTAAACTTTATTTATTTTGAGAGAGACAGAGACAGCACAAGTGGGGGAGGGTCAGAGAGAGGGAGAGAGAGAATCCCAAGCAGGCTCCCTGCTGCCACCACAGAGCCTGATGCAGGGCTCGAACCTACAAAGCCCTGAGATCATGACTGAGCCAAAATCAAGAGTTGGACACTCAACCGACTGAACCAACCAGGCACCCCCAAATTTTTTCTTTTTTAATGTTTATTTGTTTTTGAGAGAGAGAGAGAGTGCAAGCGGGGGAGGGGCAGAGAGAGAGGGAGACACAGAATCTGAAGCAGGCTCCAGGCTCTAAGCTGTCAGCACAGAGCCCGACGCGGGCCTGGAACTGAGCCGAAGTCAGCTTAAAGGACTGAGCCACCCAGGCACCCCTCTCTCTCCCTCCTAGCAAGGCA